CTCTCGCGTTGAAACCGAGGAGACTCGACTTGGTACTCTGAAGAGTCTCATGAGGTCTGCGCAATTGGTACGACGCGACGACAAGAAACTATAATACTCAAATAAATAAACATTTGTGAGCTCGTATCTGTATGTTCTCGATGGAAGCGGGGCAATCCGATGAATGCAATGAGTGAAGCTCCTCGATGTGTATGTACTATGTCTATCTATCTATCTATCGGAAGACGGCGCCAGCGTAGGAAAGGTTTCGCCCCCCCCCAAAAAACCCTGCGTACGCCCCTGCTCACTCCTTGTGGTCACTTGATGTGCTGGGAGTGCTGTTACCGTTGGTATCAGGCCAATCGGCGGGGAAGCTGCCCGGCGTGTAGGTCGGACTTCGAGATAGAGGACCTGAGACCGGTTCTCGGAACGGAACCTGGAGACGAAGGGGAGGAAGGAATACCGCCGCGGCCCAGAGGGGTCTACATTCCCCGGGAGGACTGGGCATCGAGCCATGGGCTAATCGAACTGTATATATCTATCTAGTTTTTTTGGATAAACCTGCGAGCCCGGGAATTGGCTTGCAGCTTGGCTAGATAGTGTTTTCAACTAGGTACGTAATAACAGGCGTTTCCATAGGAATTAGGCATTCGCTCAGGCCATTCATCAGGGTTAGGATCAGGCATTCCAGTTGATCGGGAGATCAAAAATGGTAGCTGTCTAGCTGTGGTCGAATGTCATAGGCGAGATCTATCGGGGACGTCTGTGGTCAGGTTCACGTTGCGTGATCGTCACCGTAGGCCCTGATGACGTCAGTTGAGAGTTGGGTGTCGTAGCCGACGGCACGCGCGACGCTCAGTCCAATCGAGTATTCGCCCAATAAACTAGTGGAGTGAAATAAGTCGAACATTCCTCCATTCAAGCCGTTCCCCATAGTAGGAGTAGTTATCACACGACCGCCAGCAAATGACCACCAGCGAAAGAAAACAATCCGAAATTAAAAAGCCGAAGGTAGTAGCGAGCTACTACCGCATAGTTGCGTGAAAACGTCTGAAGTTATTGTGTAATCATTTTATTAATGTTATTATTATTATATACGCCAACAGTATTCACCCAGAGGTAAAGATTTATGATTCTGAGAATGTCGTCAATCAGCTTTGCGTTTTGCTTCGTCCTTGAAATACTATCGTGAAACATAAGATTTTTTTTTCCGATATCTCCGATCATTTTAATACTTTCCGCGTCGCGTATTTCGGGAACGATGATAATCTTGATCAACTGTTGAACTTTTATTGACCTCTCGGTTATCTATAGAATGATCAAGCTCTCGGCAGCCTTACTCTGGATATCCCCTTCTCTCGTGCCGGACTTTGCTCCGACATGCTGATCATGGACTCCAGGTCTTCCTTGCCTGGCTATTCGATTCGAATCGGTTCGATGTGATCGTGATCGGTCAGTCGTCATCATTGAGAGTCCTCAACCTTGTGTCCTCTATTCATAGGAGATCAGTTTCTACCGTATCTTCTCAAAATGGTTCCGCGGAAACATCGCCATACTAGAAGGTTGTGGTGGCCAAGATGAACGAAAGGATGGTGCCTTTTTTTATACCCCATTCGTTTTTTTCTTGCAATCCCGGATTCCGGTCTTCGACTGCGCTTGGCCTTTAACGGCTTCCCCGATGGATCCTAGTTCGAGTGTCGTTAAGAACTTCGGTTGCACGATGAACTTCCACTGACCTCTCTGTGGCATGATAGACTGATCAACCAAACTTTGAGATGTTCCGTATCTTCATTTGAAAACTTGCGGTCGACGACTGTGCTCGACGAAGAATTCAGGATTTTTTCCGGAGAACTCTTTGACTTGTAGATTCGTTACCGCGACACATTGGCCTTCCGTGTAATCCATAATGCCGACAGCATCCACCCAGAGGCCAAGATTCACGATCTTGAGAGTATCGTCTATCAGCTTAACGTTTTGTTCTTCCTTGAATGCCATCGCACACATGAGAGTTCGCGGCGGTCCTACACCGTAAACGACCGCGATTAGATTGATCATCTTATTACTCTCCGCGTAGAGTATTTCGAGGACGGTGATCATCTTATTCAAATTCTTTGGGTAGTCGAATTCCTCGATGGGCTTGACTTGACTCATCTATAATGAATCATTTTTGCCAGATGCTGTCTCATCTGAAAGGTTTCCCAAGCTGCCGTATCATTGCGAACAAATCTCTCCGTCGTTGCGACCAATACTGCACAGAATCGGGAATCGTTTTCAAGAACGCTTGATTTGTTTCAATCAAGCGCTCTACGAAAGTACGGTCCTCAATCATTCTCCTAGGTATGGTCTCTGTTGTTCTTAAACATCGATATATGTTTTGAATACCATCATTCACTCGATGACGCATGATTTTCATGGCCATGTAAAGAACATTTTGGGGAACAACCCCACGTCTGTCACTCCTCCGTATTTCAGACATGCATAAACTATACGGCGTTGCTCGAACACCTGCAGCATCCTCAGACGTGATCTTCCGGCCTACCCCAAGATAAATTTCAGGAAAGGACAGCTCCTCCGCATAAGCATCAAATAATAAGCTCTCGGCCCTCTTACACTGTCCGGGAGCGATATCTAGACAATGGTCTTCGTTCCAAATCATGGTCTGCTGAAGTGCATTCAAAATCCCCGATTCTGGTTCTGTGGCCGCATTGAGTTCCTCGATATCGAAATCAGTTGCCGAAACATGGGCAGACTCGGCAGAGAGGACAAACTCATTGAGCCTCGAGAAATCTACAGTTATACCATAGTATCTGTATAGCGGTTGGTCAATCAGGAACTGAAGCCAAGATTTCACGGTTGATTTTTTCACGAAGCCACTCAAAAACGAAGACTTGTGAATGATGTTCTTTTTGAGATTCACGTTAAAAGCACAGTCGTCATCAAGTGACCGTGGCAATGACAAGACCATGGTATTCACATCGACGGGCACGTTTATGACTTGCCCGACTATGCCGTAGCAACCATTACGACGTAAACGACGGATCTGCATATATGGTATCCGCGGTGACACGAGACGTTCCGATAGAGGATCTAATTTCGGCAAGTACGTCGGCTTCGCTGGATATTGATATCCATTGGTCTTACTGAGAGGTATTTAAAATATATATATAAATAATAAATATATGTATAAATTTGCGACACACTCTGGAACAATTACCGCATAGCTTGAAGACCGTGGTATCCTCGTTCTCGGAATGGTCTCGCAGAAACATCGCCATACTAGGATTCACTGTTTTGAGAACGCGGAGAAACCAGAGGCGATCACAGACATCGCATTTATGCCCGAACTCGTTGTGAAGGAACATATTTTTGAATCGCTGCGTCGCTCTTTCCCACCTATATTCGTCAGCCGCATTCCTCGTGCATTCGGTACCTCCATCGAAATTCGCAGCATTATTTCTGAGGACACCCAGCTCGTTTCGACTATCGCTATCCAGACGCGTGAAATGTACCGATTCTTGCCGACTCACATGTCCATCTTCAGGGATCGAACTTGCGCACCAAGATCTCCCGTATTGGCCTCTGGTGACTAGGCCATTGCACGACGACGAGAACGATTTTCGCGGGATCTTTCCGTTGATGTTTTCGGCCGTTTCGCAGCTGCTTCAGATTGCCCTATATTTTCAGCTACTCTTGCTTTCCGCTTCATTCGCATGATGCTACTTCTCTTCGGTCTCATGGCGACGGCCAAGGAATGAAGTCCCCTTGGGAGACTCAGCTGCACACTTCGTTATAATCTATCAAATCTCGGCGAAACCTCCGTTTCCAATTGCGGATAGACGAGCTAATCTCCACTCGGAACCCTGTTCGATTCGAGATCCTCCTCCGATCAGAATCCCAAGAGCAAGAAACTTATTTGATATGCGGTCTGAAAGTAGATAAAGAAAACCTGCGTAGCCGCTGCGGTTTTCTCCACCAGAGCAAGGGATAGGTATCCCTACGAGCTAGATTATTTCCCGGACAAGCAGTCTTGAGTCACTTAAAGTCCGTGTCGTCGCCGATATGCATCAGAGTCTTACTTCCATTCAATTGCTTGGGCCGACCATTCTTCCCCTATTCTGGAAAACAATTATTTATGCGGCTGAATAGAGGTTTTCGTGGGTCGACAGAAATTGTCGAATGATACCTCTTTCCCAGCTCGGTTCCGGACGAAAATTCATCGGAACAATGTGCCGTAAATTTGCAATCTTCCGATCCAATCCTCGTGATAATCCGATTCCTATCAACGGAGATCCAGCCCCGCAAAAGCGGACTAGATTTCGTTGCATGGAGGACGAAGTTTCTTTGACCGGCTACTAGAGCCATTTTAAAGACGTTTTCACGTCAAAAACAATACGATCGGGGAGTCAAGAACTGACCAACTATTGTAAGCGGAGCCACAGTACGGGTGGAGCCGCTCCGAGACGGAGAAACACGGAAAAAGGTCAATGTGTGGAGAAAGTCGCCCCAAGATCATATCTGGTGAAATTAGACAACGAAGCGGTCATTCGCGGAAACCGACGTCAACTAAAAGTGAGCAAAGAAAGACCATCGACGGTGATCCGAGAAATTCAAAGGAAGCGAAAATCCGAAGTCAATCCCCCGAAGAAACCAGAGAGAAAGAAGAGTAAATTAACTTTAGAGCCTCATTAGTCATCAGCTCAGACGAAGTAGTAGAATAGCGAATAGGACTAGCTGATCATCAGCAAAGAAAACAGGGGAGAGAGTAGATCTCCCCCTCGGAAAATCAATAATTCATTGTGCAAAGAAATCGAATCATGAGCCATTGTTCACAGAAATATTGTAACTTAGTACTCAAGGACGGATTGAGCGAGGAAGAGATTTCGAGAAGGGAGATGTTGGGCAGGTATCCGCGGTTGGGTGCACCATCATTCTGTACATAACATATCCCGACCAGACGACAATAAAGCTCGCTAGCAAACGTGCAGCTAGACCGTCGAGTCATACCAAATCACTGTTCTCACTTATCCGACAGTCATCGACTGATACACCTCGTGCGTCGAGGGATCTTTCGAGAGGAACAGAGCTATGGCTCTGGAGACGGCGCAGGTAGATAGCAGAATGTATGCTTCTGCCTTCTTTCCGTTTCCCTTCTTGTATGCGAAGTCTAGTACAATACCGTCGAATACGGCGGTACTCTCGACAAGTGGAGTGCCTCTCCCTTCCAGTCTCTCTTTTGCCCCAGGAAGGCCACCGAATTGGGCCTTGATCAAGCTGAGGTCTCGTCGGAGGCTATCCTTCTTCAGAATCTGCTGAGCAGCCAGGAAACTTGCCGCTTCCTTCGCATCTGGTGCTTCAACAACAGCACCCACGGAATCGAAATAGCCCGCATTATAGACCGCAGCTCGGATCCAGGTTCCCCACCGAGTGAGGACTGGCTCCGGTGGAAGAGGAGTGTTAGGCGCGAACTCGTGGAATATTGTCACTCGAGCTGCAGATTTTGGGAATATTTCCGTCCCAGTCGAAACCACTTTATCCACGTCCGGGAACATTGACCTCATATCTTGCGCTATTCGAAGAATGCCATGGGCAGCACAAGTGACGTGCACCATCTTTGGGAACAGGATCTTCAGAGCTGCGGCGGCTTTCTTAATGTACGCTGCTCCGTCCGTGACGAAGAGGAGAACTTTCTCGTGTTCTATTCCACCCGGCCATAACTTCATCCACGAATTCATGAAGGCTTGCGCGATCGTGGAGCTATTAGTCTTCTCCAAGCACTCAGCATGAAGGAGAAAACTCCTGGGGTCCATACAGGCAAGCGTTCCCACGATCGTGTACGCCACATAACGCCCGGTCGCATCCGTGGTTTCGCCCGAGGTAATCCACACGGGTTTCTGAGCAACGCAGCTCCGTATGAACTCTAGTTTACCGTCGTAGATCGTCCTTATGTAGTTGAGTCTTAGATTGACCGACGAGGGAACCGGTTGACGGCAATGCTTCACTAAGAATTCTCTAAGTTTCTCGTTATCCAATTTCCGGAGAGGAATCCCGGCTGACAGGAGGGCTCCACATAGTTCGGGGTTGAACTGGGAGTTTTTCCCGGAGGCTTTGAGGAATTGAGCAACCCTTGACGAGCTCGACGCTTTCTTCTTGTGCAGCGATGCCTTGTGCTTGATTCTTGATACGTGTTGACTCACAGAGAACTTTCTCGTGGCTCGAACTTCTCGAACGCATATTTTGCAGAAAAGAACTCTGCCGTCGGTGGATAATTCTTCGCTTCCATAGAATCTCACATAGGACTCCGGCTTTGAGTTCCGTGGTACCGCGACTTTCGGCATCTCTGCGATCGCAAGCAGGTCGAGTGACTCTACAACAAATTGAGTTTTGTCCCGCACAGCGAAGGTAACGTTTTGCTTTCTCCTGAAAGTCACTGCTCAGGTTCTTGACGCGCACCCCCACTGGCAATCATCAGCGCATTCCACCAATCGAGAAATGTCTTCCTCGCTCGGTGTCGAACAATTTTCCTGGCAGTCTGACCTTAAATCCGATTCCTGTTTGCTGGAGCTTCGATTCGAGCTCTGATATGTACAGGATGGATAGGATCGGACTCAACGGGCCACCCTGTCGCAGTCCCATCTCCGTTCGTATAGTTTTGGATTTGTGGCCATTATAATGGAGTGCTACTCTGTTGTCCGTATATAGAAGTTTGATTAGTTCTACGATAGGTTCTGGCATGTCTTTCTTCTCCAGAACCTCACAGAGTCGTGCCCAGTCAATCCGATCGTAGGCACGGGTGCAGTCCAAGAAACAGCGTATCAGGCCGGCGTTCTCTTGCCTAGCAATTTCGATGGCAGAAGTCAAGATAAGAAGGCAATCTTCTCCTTTTCTATCTTTTCTGAAGCCATGTTGCATTTCACCGATCCCGTTTGTTCCATCCAATCCTGGATTTCTCGGAATGATATCTGCGCGAATAACCTGCACAATATCGTTGATATTGTGAGTGGCCGATACGTTCTAAGCATCCCTTTTTCCGAGGTGCTCTTCATGAGGAGTGACACTCGTCCCTAGCGCCAGTCTTCTGGAATTTCATCATTTCATTACTCCTTTTATTTCCCAAAGGGTTTTGATTCGCTTACAAAATATCAAATCCTCATTTATAAATCTACAAATACGCCAGGCGTAGGAGTTGTTCACTATAGCGGTACGGGCAGTCATGGGCGGCTTCGTCGAGAGGCCGGTTCTACGGCTGTTCGGTGCGAGAGGGAGAATATCACAGAGTTTGTGTTGTGCTAGGGGGTAGTTGTCTGAGGGCTAAGGCCTTGTCTGCCCGGACGAGAAGCTCTGGTACAAGTGTGAGATCGAGTTCGAACTTGGGAATGTAGCACCGGCGAGCTAGGCGGCGGGCAAAAGAAGATTGTATGCGCTTGAGTAAACACAAATCTCGTTCATAAGTTGGGGACCAGACAGTTGAACAATACAGGATACGAGGAATGACCAAACTGCGGTAGAGAGCGATGTATGGTGACGGATTATCAATAGAGGCGCGATTTGACCGGACATTTTTTTCGCTGAAACCGGACACAAAACCGGACATTTATTCTAGATCTGAGATCTCCATCCGAGACTTATATTATACGAATCATTCCCATTGTCCGACTTAATCTCGCCCACAGGCAGTCATTTTTCGTCAAACAAAATATGTGAGTTGAATTGTATACAGATGAATCGGGCTATATTACATTCTGAAAGATTTGTTCGTCGGTCTGTCACGAACACGTTCATTTGGGGGAAAAGCCAAATGGGCGGATCGACCATTTGGGCGAAATGCCATTTGGGCGGATTGCCATTTGGGCGGATTGCCTGTGATGTTCTGAAATAAGGGACATTCTCCCCACGGAGGAGAGAACGAACCTAACACTTGGACCCAGATACTTGTAAACTCGAATAAGGAGCCGAGTAATGATAATGAGCCTTACACCACAGGTCTCGGCGCACTCGACGAGGGGATTCCACGTGTCTCTTTTGTGCTCCTTCTATCATTTAATCATCTTAAATTAGCGATGTACTGACATCTTCGCCAGTGATACGCCACTCCGATTCTTTTCTTTCCGCTCCTGTACACGTCTTTACACAAACTTTAAGTTCAGTGGAAGAATTGTGATGTCAAATTATCTACACAAATGAAAGCGCCGCCGATCGTCTCTCTAACGCTCGACTCTGGCGCCCTCTAGCGTGATAATCAATCCACGCACGACACTCGACCACGCTACCACGCTGATCTCCCGATCAGCTACTCGGCTAATTCGTATATATCCATCCCCTTACAATACTAAGCTACCTCGCTTTCTTCGAAACATAGCATTCCTGGCTCGCTCTACTTATTCTCTTGAAAACTCTGTGTTCAGCGATCTCTCTACTTCGACTTTATTTTACATGAATAATTCTCTGATTCGATGCCTCGTGTCTCTGCCGCATCCAGCTGGGCACTTATTACAGTAAACGTGCCAGTCTTCGAGGCACGCCCGGCAGAAAACATGCCCGCACACAGCGGCAACTGGGTCTCTCCACGGTCGTTTACAGATGGAGCACTTCCACTCCCTTCTTAGAGCCTCGTCTTCGATCTCCAGTCGCCTCTCTACTTCGTTCATCGGAATATATGGAAGGTCGGGAGACCTCCTCGCCGCTTCCTCTTCCTGTCGGCGTCGATGTTCTGCTGAGCGACTCGCGAAGAATCCCTGTAGCTCGGGATCGACTATTTGGCTCTGCCTCTGCCGGACCGCCAGCTCGGCCTGCTGCTCTCTCTCTACTTGTTGCACGATCTGTTGTTGTTGGCGCTGTTGGGCTGCTTGTTGGGCTGCCTGCTGTTGTTGCTGCAGAGATTGCTGTTGTTGCTCTGCCGCTGCCGTTGCTGCTTGTTGTTGCTGCTCTGCTTGCTGTTGTTGCCTGGCTCTTCTTTCGTTTCGGCATTGATGCTGCCAATGTCCCCTTTGCTGACATCGGTAGCATATTTGGTTGACCAACCGAGGGCATTGGCTAACGTAATGGCCTCGTTCATGGCAATAGTGGCAGTTTCCGTTCCATGAGGGGCACCTGCTATGCCAGTGACCAGCCGATCCGCAGCCTTCACAGCTTGTCGGCAATCGCTCCATCCTCTCTCTCTGCTTCGCTCCTCTTCGGGGAACCTCTACTTCTTCACTCGTTGGTCGCTGAACCCGGTCCTTCACTCTACTTCTTCGTCGGTCGCTGCACCCGGTCCTTCACTCTACTTCTTCGTCGGTCGCTGCACGCGGTCCTTCGAGCAGACCAAGAATGAGCGATCCGTTAGTGGCGCCGCTATTTTGTCGTCTTGCACTTCTCTCGAATGTGCACGACGTGTGTAAATGTCGTTCACTGCTCGACCACGCTACCAATGCAATCTTCCTCGATGCTACTTAGTATATCGTCCCGGAAATCTAGGGGAGATCCACCAGTTATGGACCACCCCCCAGTTTTGGACCGGTCACCAGTTATGGACCACCCACCGGTTTTGGACCGGTCACCAGTTATGGACCGGTCAGAATTTCGGGCCATTCTTCCCGAAGTCGGAATACAGTGTCGGGTCTTGAAGAATTCTATCAATGTCAAGATTATTTCGAGATCCTCATTCTCACGATCATAGATGGCTGAGAGAGCCCATCGACAGCGGGCAACTCGGAAAGAAAATCGATCTCAAGCCGATACTCGAACGATTCTCGAATCCGCCTCTAGCTTGGAGCTGGAGAGGCTGGATTCGATCCCCCGATTCCCGAAGCGAGCGAATATCAAGTCATCCCAAAGCGAAAACATTCTGAAAAGAAAACTGAACATCTTGTGATGAACGATACTCGAATCGGCCTGTTTTCCGAACGCTGCAGGGGCTGTATTGAGTTCCCTCGATTCCGAGACCGAGCGGATCTCAAGTTATCGAAAGCGAAAACATTCTAAAAAAATACTGAGCGTTGTGTGGGTACTCATGTCGTCTCTTTGCCGGGAGCTGTAGCGGCTGGATTCGCCTTGGAGCGCAGTTCTGCAGCCATTTCTCTCCGAGCTAGTGTCAAGATTGCTTCGTGTCATCCTCCCTGGCTGCGTGATTCTTCAGTGATCAACCATGCCGTCGGTAAGCAAAGCAGGCAAAAAGGCGACTAGCAATCCAAGAAAAGTATCATTAGCGGATTCATTTTGCCCTTACAAACTCGATCATATCGATGATTTTTCCTCGAAAAAAAATTCTCGCGTATCAGCGAACTTCTTAGCTTGGGCAGCGCAAGCGAAGGTGGTTATGCCGAATGCGACATCAGTTCTCCCTAGTTTCGGATGTTCAGATGTGTCTGATTTTCGCCTGATAATGTTCTGTCCCCGCTCCGTTCCGGCTGCCGGGCAGTTATGTCATTGATATGATTGAGGTCCCACCGTATCCGCATTCTCGTTCCCATAGTGATGCAAGCCGGCATTTCAGAACTCGAAATACTCGGACCAGGACTTAAGAAACGCTGTGGCGGCCGTTCGCGACGGCATGTCCCAGAGAGCGGCGGCTAAGCTCTACAAAGTGCCGAAGACCACGCTCCGGCGGAATCTGGAGGAGGAAGAACCTGAGAGACATGAGCGAGGCCCAGTCCCTATTCTGGGGGAGGAATTGGAAGAAGCTATCGTGTCCTACATAAAGAAGATGGCCCAACTGGGGTTTCCGATAACCCGAAAATGCCTCCAAGAAGTCGGTAGGAGCCTCGCGAGAGTGGCGTCCGAGAACGGAAATCCACGGGCCGAAGAAATTACATCAGGGAAGAAGTGGCTGGAACTTTTCCTGAAACGTCACCAATGCATCTCGCTCCGAACGGCCGAGCACGTATCAAACGCCCAGGCCAGCGTGTCCGAAAACGACATCCGAGAGCATTTCGAGAAGCTCGAGCGCCGTCTCACTGAGGAAGGCCTGATCCATATCCTTCGTCAGCCGGATCGAGTTTTCAACACCGACGAGACGTCAATGTCCCTGAATCCATCGGGACAGAGAGTACTCGCCACGAGAGGCGCCCGAAATGTTTATTCTCGCGGAGGGTCGGACAAGGAGAGCGTCACGCTACTGGTCACCGGGAATGCAGCGGGTGCACTGGCGCCCACTGCGATCGTCTTGCGCCGGAAGACCCTGCCTGTCGCCCTCACCGATCTCATCCGTGCTGGTTTCTACCTGCTCAACTCGGATAAGGGATGGCAGACCGGGAAAACATTTCTGGAGTATCTCGAGAACAGTTTTACTCCATTCCTGGTTGAAAAGGGAATTCGAAGGCCGGTTCTGCTGTTCCTTGACAACCATCGTTCGCACCTGGTTCTGGACGTTGTCTCTTACTGTGAAAGGAGCGGCATCGTCTTGCTGCCCCTGCTACCGAACGCGACTCATATCTGTTGGGATAAATGAGTGCTACTGACTAATTGCTCCAAGTATTTCACTGGTAATAGCGTTCTTTCGGTTACGCTTGTTAATCACCGCGTTGCTTATGTTTCACCAGAGCAATTTGACGCAATTGGATGAAATTTGGATATAATGATCGTCAGTGTTCTTTTGTCCAAAATAGCCCTTTGCCTCCCTATATAAGCTGTCTGAAATAAAGTGTTAAACACAGATCAGTCTGTCACCCGCATCCAGTTGCCTTGTTATTCTAGAGACCTGCTTCCCTAGACTTCACCCGCTCCGCTGCTGCTCCAATCACTGTGCTACCCAACTTCAATTCATTCAAACTGAGCCCCTGCCGACTGAAACCCACTCAGTGTGCTCAATACAGGACAACTCCTAACAGGGTTTTACCAACATTCGTTATCAGCACGATACTCAAAAGGACTCAGTTTGTTCTGCAACAGCGAGGTGAGTGATAGACCTCAACTCTAGAATGCCACCGCAAGAGACTACAGCGATTACGCTGAACGTCGACGGAAACGATGCCCCGAAGATACGGTTCAACCCTGCGCTCGTCCTCCGAGATGATGGCGCCAACTACCTCACGTGGAAGACTCTTGTACCTGGACTCATGCAAGCAGAAACATACGCGTGGAAGTCATCACCGAGAAGATCGTACCAGATGAAGATGCTACAAAGAACGCTAAGTACATCACTGGAAACCGTAACGCTCGCACTGTCTTTTTCAACATCGTCAACCCAAACATCATACTCGAACTCTTCTATGGTGACTCTGAGACAGTCAGTGCCGTCATCATGTGGACCAAAATCAAGGATCACTTCCTTCACTCCACTGGTGTGTTCAAACAACAAGCGCTGGACAATTGGCTCAACTACGAATACAACGAATCCCTCAGCGCTCAAGAAAACATTCAACGCTACAAGTCCATAACCTACGGCCTGACTGAAGTCGGAGAATCACTGAGCACATCTGTTCTAGTGACAAGGTTAGTAGGCTCACTACCTAATACCTGGTCCTCCTTCAAGCAATCCTGGACTTCCAGACCAAGCACTGATCAGGATCTGGAAACACTCTATGGGCTCATAAAGAATGAGGTTCGACGTCAGAAGACTGAAAACGGAGACGTGAATGATGTGACCGTCCTCATGGCAAGGACACACATAACTAAGAAAAGACGGCGACCATCCAGGCAACAGTTTCAAAGGCAACTCACCAACTCCCGGAGAATGCAGTCCTACTCCAGAACCACGGAGTTAAGATGCTGGACTTGCAACGGAGTTGGGCATTCCTCCAGGTTCTGCACCAAGAAAAGACCTCAGAAGAGAGCACCGAAAGGCAAACAAGAAGGAAAACCTGAGGCGAACGTGGCAAGAGTTTTTCTGACCGAAAACTCTAAAGAAACAAAGGGAAGTAAATCTGATGGCCGAGTCCATTTCATTGTTGACTCAGGCAGTTCTCACCACGTTCTCAATGACCGGAGTTTCTTCACTGATCTCGACCCTGTGCCGTCATCTCGAGAAGTCAAGCTCGGCAACAACAGTATCCTGACAGCACCCGGATCCGGTGTTGCATTGCTGACTGTACGACGCAGAAACAAATCGGTGAATATCAAACTTCGAGATGCTCTATACGTCCCGGACATGAATACTAATTTGATATCTGTCAGCAAATTGACAGAATGTGGCTACAAAGTCTCTATGAATCCTGAGAGGACCCTGATCTCAACCGGTCAAGGTAGGGCAGTCGCTGAATGTAAAGAAGGACTTTATATTCTCGACATCGACAAAGGTGAACCCAAGTGTCTGCAGACCACAAGCTATAGCTCCAAAGCCACGGTAAGCTTAAAAGCTGTTCACGAAGCCCTTGCGCACTTGAATAAAAAAGAAGATTGAAGACACCTTGAACCGAGAAGGAATCGAATATGATGACGACTTCCTCAACTGTGAATCCTGCCAACAAGGAAAACACATCGAGCAACATACCGAACCAAACCGACAAGCTGCAAAGCTACAAGACCGGGATACATCCACGGAGACCTGTGCTCTCCCGGCCAACGATCCTTCAGTGGTTTCAACCATTTCCTGTGCCTCACCGATGACTTCAGTCGCTTCAGGAGAGTCTACTTCCTCAAGACTAAGGACCAAGCCGCTGAAGCTCTGTGACAATATTCTCGGTGGTTCCGGAACAAATTCCAACGAGACATCGATCGATTACATACGGATAACGGAGGAGAGTTCCTGAACGCCACCGTCACCAAACTTATCAATGAGATTGGAGCTGACCAAACGGCATCTAATCCTCGTACTCCAGCCCAAAACGGCATTGCTGAACGAAGCAACCGCACTCTTGTCGAATTGGCCAGAACAGCACTGATTGATTCCAAATTACCGAGGGCACTATGGCCCGAAGCCATAAGCTACTCTGCAAACGTCTTGAATGCCGTCACTATTAACCCAACCACGAATCAATCAGCTTACGAAATCTTCTACGGGAAGAAGCCGTATTTCGACAGATTCAGGCCATTTGGCACTCCTTGC